AACGGCCATGTGTCCAGGGCCAAAGCGAACCTCCAAGTAACGGAGGACTTCGGTTGTGGCTAACGACCTGGAGAGGGATGGGCACCGCCAGGCCATACTGCCCAAGACTCACCATGATGAACGCAACCAATCAAAATTTCATACCGGATCAGACGTCACCCGGGTTACTAAGGTCTGCGCCTACCGTCACACATCAGGGCGGAGGTGAAAAGTATGTGACTGATGTATTAAGCGATAGTGTATTGAACAATAGGATATTAAACAACAGGATTCGAACTAGGAACAACATCACCATTGGCACATGGAATGTATGGACACTGAGAGAAACAGGTAAGCTGGAACAACTCACCTATGAGATGAACAGATACCGATGGACGATTGTGGGACTGTGTGAAGTACGTTGGAAGAACTTCAGGGAAACATCTACCAGAGAGGGACACAAATTGTATTTCAGTGGAAGTGATCAAAAGCATGAGCATGGTGTTGGATTTCTTGTCCACAAGGACAGTGTAAACACTGTCATGGGGTGTAGACCTATGTCCAAGCGGCTCATCATCATCCGCCTGAGAGCAACACCATTTAACATCACCATCATACAGGCATATGCACCAACTTCCGATTATAACAATGAAATGGTGGAAGACTTCTACGACCAACTGCAAGAAGTCATAGACCAAATCCCAAAGAAAGACATCATCATCGTACAAGGGGACTGGAATGCCAAAGTAGGGAATGATGCTCACAAAAACTGGAAAGAAACATGCGGGAAGTACTGTAATGCTGAATCAAACGAAAGAGGTTTGACTTTGCTGGAATTTGCCAGCTACAACGATCTCATGCTGACTAACACATTTGGCAAACACAAAGCATCTAGAAGATGGACATGGCACCATCCAAATGGACAAAGTCATAGCCAGACAGACTATATCATGACTAAGAGGCGCCTCTGCTCAAGTGTTAACATCGCCAAAACTCGAACTTTTCCAGGAGCTGATGTCGGAAGTGACCACGACCTTGTTCTAATGACCTTCCGCCTCGATCTAAAAAAGGCCAGTAAACCGGGCCAGGTAAGGATCAAGTTTGACCTTGACAAGCTGAAAGATCCAGAAGTGGCAAAAGCCTTTCAAGCAATGATAGGTAGTAAATTTGCCCCACTGACCGCCAGAGACGCTCACACAGACAATGACATGTATATACTGATTGAAACCTTCAACACAGCAGTGACAGAATCAGCCAGTGAGATACTCGGCAAACACCGACCAATAACAAAGCCCTGGGTCACATCAGATATCCTTGATCTATGTGACAAAAGGAGAGAGCTGAAGAAAAAAAACAAGATTCGGAAAGGGCAAAGCAGTACAAGGCTATCAACCAGGAAATCAAGAAAAGCATGAAGAAGGTAAAAGAAAACTGGATTGAGAAACAATGCCAAGACATTGAATATAGCCTTAAAAGGAACAACAGTAAGAAGGCGTATCAATTAGTGAAAGACTTGACGAGAACGAAACAAGGACTACCATTCAGGATAAAGCAGGGAACAACTTAACAGAAAACCAAGATATAATGAAGCGATGGACAGAGTACTGCTCTGAACTGTATAACTACCTAATTAAAGGAAACCCAGAAGTACTAAATGTCCCACCAGCAAACAACATCGACAAACTTCCCATTCTCCGGAAGGAAGTGGAAACAGCAGTGAAATCACTGAAGAGGGGGAAATCAGCAGGAGTGGACAATGTTCCAGCAGAATTGTCATCTCTATTTTCTTATATGTATGTGAGTCGTGGACTCTGACAGCTGAGTTAGAGAAAAAAATTCAGGCCATGGAAACGAGATGCTTCAGAAAGTTCCTTGGTATCTCCTATAAAGACCGCATCACAAACGAAGAGGTAAGGAACAGAATAAGACAAGCGATTGGGCCATACGAAGATCTGTTGACCATTGTAATGAAAAGAAAATTAAAGTGGTACGGTCACATATCAAGATCGGAAAACGGAGGATCGAGAAGGATGGAAGGAACTGGTTGCTAGGTCATCTACGGTGCCCCAACGGTCAACTTGACTATGGGATGATGATGATGAGTAAATTGTTTTGACACATAAATC